GAGTGAGTGAGAAGTGCTTATACATTATACGATAATTGTAAATGTTTACTTCAAGGTTTTTTACTTTTCATACAGACCAATGTGAATCAAATTATAAAAATACGCGCACGATTGCTAATCATTTGTATGATATTCAACAAGGTAAATCATATCAAATAAACAACAAGAATGATGCAGACAAGAAATCATTTTTTTATTAATGTTTTTCCAGATGTGATAAAATATACGGAAAATATTACTTCCGCAGATTTATTGAATTTTGCTAGACAAGTAGTTACAGGAATGGTAAGTCATGCCAATATTAACAATGATATTGATAAGTGATAATTACTATTAAGTTTGTACTTTATAAAACGACGAAGGCTGCGTTCGAAGAGCGTGCTATTAATAATATTACATCATTTCATTTTTATCGTTCATTAAATGTTGAGAATTCAGGATGATGCGATAGTATTAATAACGCGCTCTCCGAACGCAGCTATACTATTTACTTTCTTAATGCTATTGTTTTATTTAAAACAAAATGCGATGGTTATTGTGTTTAGGAATTTTTATCTTCTAATCGGATTGTACATCGTGATTTAGCTGCTCGTAATGTATTAGTGCGACCAGATAGAGTAGTGAAAATTTCAGATTTTGGTCTCAGCCGAGACATCTATCAAGAGAACGTTTATCGAAAAAAAGGTGACGGTAAATTGCCTTTAAAATGGATGGCGATCGAAGCTTTAACGCATCAAATATATACTACTTACAGTGACGTGTACGTAATTGTAATTTTATATTATATCATCTATTTCATAATTTACTTATATATTTGAAATTTAATATATTTGAAATTATATTTGAAATTAATATATTTGAAATTATAGATGGGCTTTTGGTATCTTATTGTGGGAAATAGTTACTTTAGGTGCCATGCCATATCCTGGTACTCCTACAAATAAAATTTTGCAACTTCTTAAATCTGGATATCGAATGGAAAGACCGTCAAATTGTAGTCAGGAATTGTACGTATTATATATTGTAATATAACACTACTTTGGTAGACTTATAGCCATATGAATTTCCAGTTTTATACTTCAGTGTATTATGTTTTTCTTTCTCTTTCAGATACAACATAATGTATTCATGTTGGAACATAAGACCTCAAAGTAGACCTACTTTTACGGAATTAAAACAAAGTTTGGACAAATTGCTTAGTAATTATTCGGAAAACAAATACTTGAATCTGTGCGATGTTCTGTACGAATCAGCAAATGAATATAATGAATCAAGATCGATTAAAGCATGTTAAATAGAAAATGTGTAATATATAAAGAAATAAAGCACATAACTATTAATTATTAACTTCAATTCAAGCCAAAGTTTATCATACATAGGACTATCATTGTTGTGTGCAAAATCGTTTATTCTTTAGTTTACATATAATAAAATCTAATATACATCTTTTCTTCAAAAATTTAACGAACAAAAGGGCAATGAGAAACGCGCAGTAAACAGTGCGCAATGAACTTTATAAATCTTCTTGATTAAAAAAATCTTCTTTATTCAATCAAACGTTTCGGCTCTGGTATTGAGCCATCTTCAGTGATAAATAATAGTCAGAAGGCGCTGAATGTGCACTCTAATGTGATAATAAAAGTACGTCGCTCACGACAATTGCTAGATCGTGAGGGAACAAATCTTTCTGTCATGTCCCACATTAAAGCCAAGTTATATATAATAGATCGTGTCAGTTCAAAAAAGTAAAAACGTTATATACAGTATATGACTGTCTTTTGACTGATACATTTTTAATAATTATACTCGTGGCTGTAACATTTCTGAGTGACGTACTTTTATCACTACATTAGAGTTCGGTGTCTTCTGACTAT